AATAATAATAATAATAATAATAATAATAATAATAATAATAATAATAATAATAATAATAATAATAATAATAATAATAAATAATAATAATAATAATAATAATAATAATAATAATAATAATAATAATAATAATAATAATAATAATAATAATAATAATTTGTTTATTCACATAAAACAAATACAATGTATAAAAATGTTATTTAAAGATAAGCAAATAAACATGAATTGTACGTGGTAGGTATTACTAAAAAATTGAATTAAAAATTAATTCTATAATATGACCTATTAAATAATGAATAAGCCCAATGGGTCAGTTTCTTTGTATCTTAGACAAAATGTTAAGAAACTTGTTAATAATAAAATTAAATTATTTATATAATGTAATACTTGGAAATGGTCATAATTGAGAAAAGGGTCATAATCGGGAATTAGTTACACTCGAGAGAAAGGTCGTATTCGAGATAGAGGATATAATTGAGATAGAGGAGAGGACATAATCAAGATAGAGGACATAAACGAGAAATAGGTCGTAATAGGTCGTAATCAGAAGAACAAGTCATAGTGTTGGGTAAGTAAATTACAAATTTTAAGAAATTAAAGAAATTAATCGGAAAATCAGTGTAGTTATTAAAAGTATGGATAATGAATATAATAGTTTACGATAGGTAATTATTTATAACATTACTAAATTCTTCTCGGTCTTCTTGAAGAATCCAATTTCTTAGATGTTTTTTGAATACATTATAAGATGGTATATTACGTTTCTCTTCTGGGACTAAAATATACATTCTTGGTGCAAAATAACTGCATGTACGTTGTCCTATAGATTTTTCACCACGAGAAAAATAAACAGATTCTACTCGTCATGTATTATACTGATGTTCATGTGATGTCAAAACAATTTTTTTGTTGTCTTAAATCAAAAACTTTTAATTCCTTGTACAAGGAGTTACTAGAATATTAAATATCTTTGTTATAGATAATACGCAAAACCCATTTTTGCACCACATGAACATCATTCAGAAAGTTATCGTGTATTCCTCCCCAGCCTATAATACCATAGACTAATAACGACTGTACCAAAGAGAAATACATTGTTTTTAGAGCATGATCATTTAAAAAATCTTTTAAATACCTGAATTTGGGCAATAATCCTCTTATTTTTTTAATAAGTTGCTTGGTATCTAAATCCCACCTCATATGCCTATCTATAAGAATTCCAAGATATTTTACTGAAGAGGATTCAGGGATTTCTATATCTAGGCCTACTTTTAAAGATCCCATGGAAGGAAGACCACTAGTATAGGAGCTAAACGGTAAGTAGCTTGTTTTTGTATAGTTTATTGTAAGTTTATTATATTGAAGCCAATTTGCTATTCTTGAAAAGTCACTTTCAACTTTTTGTTTTAGGTTATCCCAAGAAGACGAAGTGTATATGACAGCCGTATCCTCCGCGAAGCTAAAAATTTGGTCCAGTGATTACAAATGGAGAAGGCTATTTATGTATACAGAAAAAAGGATCGGGCCTAACACGGTTCCCTGAGGAACTCCAACAGTTACTGTTTGTGAATCACTTCTAGTATCTCCAATTTGAACGAGCTGCTGCCTATTTGATAAATAACTTTCAAAGATGTTATATAATTTACCCCTAACTCCATACTTTTGCAACTTTTCTAATAATTTCACATGACACAGAGTGTCGAAGGCTTTGGAGAGATCTAGAAATATACATAAAATGGGTACTTTTTTATCCAAAGAGTTATAAATTGTTGATGTTAGTTCATAAATTGCATCCTCAGTTGATCGACCCTCCCTGAAACCAAATTGACGATCAGATAATATACGAAATTTGTTTAGACATTTGCATAGGCGTATTTTTAAAATTTTTTCAATTATTTTTGAAATAGTTGATAATAGCGATATTGGTCGATAACTTCCTAATTCATTTTTATTTCCATTTTTAAATAGCGGTTTGACTGTAGCACATTTTAAAATCTTAGTAATCCCTGTATCTAAACATTTATTTATTAGAAATGTCAATGGTTCAACAATTTCGTAAGCAATTTGTTTTAAAGTATCTGCACGAATTTCATCCAAACCTGGAGATTTTTTATTTTTTAGATTATTTATTATTTCTAAGACCTCCGATGTGTCTGTTGGAAATAGATACATAGTATTTTCCAAAAAATCTAAATTATCTTTATAATTATTCAGATCTGGTATTCTGTCAGCTTAATTTTCTCCAATTGTTCTAAAGTAAGTATTAAAGTGATTTACAATTTCATCCGTTTTTTTACTGTTTTTCCGTCTAAAAGCTTAATTTCCTCAATGTTCTTATTTTGCTTTTGTTTACCGCAAATATATTTTACGCAATCCCAAACGGCTTTAGATGTATTTTTATTAGCTTCAATTTGTCGAGAAAATCATGTTCTTTTGGCTTTTTTAATTATATTATTTAATCGATTGTTATAGTTTTTGTATTGTTCTTTTAATTCTATATTATCTGGATGTTTTAAGCTATATTTGTACATTGTCTGCTTCTTTTTAATACTTTTTAGCAGACCTGGTGTCACCCATTTTTTTTATAAATTTCTTTCGTTTTTATTAAGACTATATTTGTATTTTTATTTATAAAAGATTTTAGTTTAGCTATATAGTTTTCACACATGATATCTGGGTTCATTTCATTATAAAGTTCATTCCAAGATTCATTAATTAATTCTTGCTTTAAATTTTTATAATTAATATATCGTTTAATATTTTGTGAAGGCTCTTTGATACTTACTTTATCTGTGCTAAAAGTGCCCTAGTTTGTATCCAAAATTGGTCCAAACAAGTTTTACTCGGTAAACGTGTGTATTCATTGATATATGATATAAAGCCCTAAGAACTTAATATATTTTTATATTCTTCGATACAGTCGCTATTAGCTAAAATATTCATGTTTAAATCTCCTACGATAATATTTATATCACTGCGATGAAAATGATTTAAATAATTTAACAATTCTAAATTAAAAATTACTGAAGAGATGGATGGTGATCGATACACGGCAGTAATATATATGGTATTTTTGGATGACATTATTTGTATTTTCAAACATTTTACATCCCCGATAAAAATATTAGATGAAGTATATTTTAAATGAATTGCATGAATGCATGAATTGATTTCATATGTTACTGATGAAATGAATACTGGTAACAAGTGTATAGCTATATTTTTAGATTTGATACGGTGCCACATCAGAAGCTCTTAAATGTTCTTGAACAGAATGGAGTGAGGGGCATCGTGTTGAAGGTTTTTGAAAATTATTTGACACACAGACAACAGAAGGTAAAGGTCAGAGACAATGTGAGTAACCTTGAAAATATACAAATCGGAGTGCCTCAAGGGACTGTTCTGGGACCTATACTATTTAATTTATATATTAAGAGCTTAATTCAGATTGATAATTAAGGTAAATTTGTATCATATGAGGATGATACAGTGCTAGTCTTCAGTGATGTAGATTGGAAAGCCGTCAAGACACGTGCTAAAGCTGGAATTGACCATGTCAAGAAGTGGCTGGATGTTTTTAAATTCTCTTTGAATGTTAACAAAACAAACTACATTTCTTTTTCAAAGACAGTGGCTGATCGACCTCAATTTAGAAGCCTATTATGTAAAAATTTAGACATACAGGAAACAGAAACATCCAAATATTTAGGTATAATTAGTACTTAAAATGGGACTGCCATATAATATATATAGCAAAAATACTTAGATTTCTGATTTATAAATTTTATCTTCTAAAACAATTTCTCAACCAGGATCTACTAATAACATTATACTACAGTCTAGTAGAATCTATACTACGGTATGGATTCTTAGTAAGGGGAGGCCTGTATGGAACTACATTAAATCAATTAAATGTTATTCAAAACAAAATCTTGAAGTTAATATATAAAAGAGATAGATTGTGTCCCACCATAACTTTATATAATGAAAAAATTAGGAATGTTAGATGTTTATATATTCACGCAGTGTGTTATTATATACAAAAAAATTAATTTTTAAAAAACCCCTTAGAACCTAGACATAACACTAGAACTGCATCGAACATGTGTATTAAAGTACCAAAACAAAATAGTGAGTTTTTTAAAAACAGTAAATTATCTAGGGACAAAGTTCTATAACGTTCTACCTCCTCATATAAAATTATTAAACAAATATATAAAATTTTGTAAAGTTAGCAAAATATACATTTTCCAAAATAATGTATAAGTTCATCAGAATATTCCAAGAATAACGGACTCTTTTTTTCTGTTTCTTGCATAAATTGTTCAAGTTTTATTTTTTATTTAAAAAAAAATGTTTTGTTTATTTATTTGTTTTTATTTTTTAGTTATTATTTTTCTGTTGTTTCTGTTTTTTGTATAGTTTGAATGTTATTTTTTGGGATTCTTTTTCATTTGTTTTTAAAAATGTATGTATGGTTTTTACAATAAAAATTCATAAATTTAAGCATGTGTTTACTTGTAAAAAAACTGACAACGAATAGCAATGAAAAGGGCCCCTAAATATCCAGCGCCCAGGGCCCGAAGTTAAGTAAAACCGGCACTGGGTTGGAGAGAATTAAGTTAGAACTGCGGCAGCAAATATGTATAGATGTTGAAGGTAAATATCGATAGGAGGTTAGAACAAATTGAAAGGTATATTAAGGAGGACGTCATCAGTAAAATAGAGGAGATATAGAAGGTGCAGGATAATAAGATTAGTACCTGATACTACAAATAAGCATTGAAGGATGAGGTATAAATGAAATGTCTATTTCATGAATCTGTACAACGTTCTGATAATTAAATTACTCCCTTTCTTCTCTAGACTATAGTCATGTAATATTCGTTGACAACTTATTTAAAATAGTCGTTCTGCTGGTTCATAATTTAACATTTAAATAGAGCAGCAATTTCATATCTTTTTTAGCGTAAAAACTGGTAAAATTCAGGCGAATTACTTACGGCGCCGAATGCCCAAGTGCCTTCACAGCCGCCTTGATTCTTTACTTCAGTTACTGCTCCCTTCTCTCTCCAGTCCTTTCTACCTGGAATATGTCCATTGTATTGAACATTTTCAATTTTTAGTGAAGGTGTAGGTCTATCCATCTTTGGTAACGGCTGCAGTAGGTCAGCAAACTCTTCGGCGGTTAAATCTCCAAACTTGTTCATCCCCAATGTGTAAGTAGTCAATCCTTTCTCGAATTTTTCATTATGTTCTTCGATTTTGCGTAAATTAGCTTGAAATACTGAATACCGGGCTTTTTCTTCAATTGTACTTTTATAGACTTTGCCATGATATTTCTAAAAAAAGAAAATAGGTTAAAAGTTCGATATTTATATATGCCAACGAGTATATTATGCCATTATTAGTTTTATTAGACAACCATTGATTTTTACGGGAACACCATTGTTTATTTACATCTATCCCCTTTAAAAATAAATTTGTATTTTTGCTTTTTTTGTATAGAAACATTATTATTATTATTATTATAATTAATCAAAATAAACTTACTTTAAAATTTAGCCATTCTTCAGTATCACTTAAAGCAGAAGTAATTGTTAAAACGGCAAGAAAACAGAAAGAGACGCACCACCTCATCTAAAAAAAAAAACGTTATGTTATAATGCTAAAGTAACTTATAAAGGATGTCCTATAAATATACCAAAAAAATTTTAACTGAAAAAGAATAAATTAGCTTTATTTAATTTACTATGATTTTATAAATAATACTAATAGCATTGTATAAATATATCCTAATAGTTCAATATTTACCTTAATTTTGTAGGTCACTTCAATTAGCTACCAACTGAATCGACTGTCTAAATGCATGTTGATTATTACTTTTATAGTTTTATTTTAATAGGTGTAACTACTCCACACTTTAGAGATTTGTTATAAAATAATTATGAATTAAAAATTGATAAGGATATCGTCAATGTAAGTATATTTCTGACAAAATAAAAAATGCTGAATAGATGGTACTTCAAGCTAATACACGTGTCTTCAGTACCTGCCACAGCTTGCGAAGATGTTCAACTAGAGAATATTTCTTGCACTTTGCACGATCCTGATGATCAAAATTTATCACCTGCATCGTCTAGCCAAACTGCGAGAGTGCAAGAACAATTTGAAAGAATTGAGACAGAATACAGAGAATCTGAATGGGATTATTAGGATTCGAATGAATGGAAAACCGAAACTGATTTGACAGACCCGGGCAATTGGCCAGACATTGAAAAAATGACCGACCAGCAAGTACTCAAGCTGTGTTATTAGCAGAAAGTCATCCAGAAAACATTGAATTTAAATCAACCGAACGCCATGGTAGACATTTAACATCTGCTATGTGGTACAAAACATTGACCAATGACGAAAAGCTTAAAAGATCTTGGCTTGTATATTCTAAAACACAAAATGCAATTTTTTGTGCATGCTGCAAGATTTTTCAGAAATCTTCCTTTTCCGATACATCTGCATTGTGTACTACAGGATTTATTAATTGAAAAAAAAGCTTATGAGAGATTAACCGAGCACGAGGCATCTCAAATGCACAAAGAGTGTATGATTAAGTGGAAAACTCGAGTTCAACAAATTAAATCATGCCAGGGTATTGATCAAGACATTGAGCGAGTAATTCAAACCGAAAAAGAAAAATGGAGACAGATCCTACATATGGTTATGGATGCTGTATTATATCCAGCAACAAACTGTCTTTCTTTTCGTGGTTCCCACGAAACCCTAGCAATTTTATCACACAATCAGTCTGGTCAAGGAAATTTCTTGAATTTAATTTTGCTTCTCTCCAAACTCTTAAATTTCAATTAGAAAACTTAACAAGTATTAGAAATTAAAAATTAAAAAAAACCGACTTCAAAAACGTGCATATGCCATCACCACATCTTACCCCCTTACTAACAAAAAAAGCATCATATAAATCGGACAAGGTTGTAAAGCATTATCGCTAAACATACATAAAAAATGAAGAGTTTGAGGATTTTCTCATGGATCCAATTATTAGATTTTGGCCAAATTTATATGGGACCACCCCTGAAGTAGCCCCTTTCTAACAAAAAAAGAAATATTGAAATCGGACACCTTGTTAAAAAATTATTGCTAAACATATATAAAAAAAATATCGCGACGAATTGAGAACCTCCTCTTTTTTGAAGTCGGTTAAAAAAAGGGACAAGTATCATATTTTTCAAAAACAATACAGAATGAAATTATTGACATAATTGCAAATACAGTCAAAAATAGCATTCTAAACGACATCAAAGAAGCCAAATACTATACAATAATATTCGATTGCACTCCAAATGTGTCGCATATAGAACAAATGAGACAGGTCATTCGCTAAGTAAAAAAAAAATGGTGATGTGTGTGAAATAAAAGAAAGTTTTATTGACTTTATAGAAGTTGCTGGAAAGACAGGAGAGCACATTTGTCAACAGATAATGGAAAAATTGACAGTTGATGGTTTAGATATCAGACAATGTCGTGGCAAATCTTATGATAATGGATCAAATATGACTGCCTATAACTGAGTGCAAGCCAGGATTACAGAAAGGAATGAGCTGGCCGAGTTCGTACCGTGTTTGGCTCACTCCTTAAATCCTGTCGGTGTCAATTCTGCCTCATCATGCCCGGAAGTAATACATCTATTTGGATTAATTCAAAAAGTATTTTGCTTCTTTGTCGGCTCTACTACTCGATGGGATACTATAAAGAAATTGGTTAAAAACTATTTAAAAGGAAGCAGTCAGAGGAGATGGTCGGTAAAACATGTTGCTGTGGAAGCTCTCTTAAATAATTTACCGGAAGTGGTGGAATCCTTGAAAGAACTTAAGCAAACTTCTCATGCTCCGGAAGCAAAGTACGAGACAGGTAGTCTCTTAAATGCAATAAAGAATTTTAAATTTATATTGGGCAAATATTCTCCGCGAAATCAATCGAGTGAATATTGAAATTCAGAAGCAAGATATAATCCTTGCGCGTTCCGTCTCTCTAATGGATGGCCTGATGAAAATTCAATTGAATATTGGATAGAAGAGGCTAAAGAAGTTGCTGGAAAAATTGGTGTCGAACCTATTCTGCCAAATAAACAAATTTCGAGGTGCAAAAAACAATTTGACGAGATGTGTGATGACGAATCACGAACAATTCAACCAGTTCAACTTTTTTCTCAAGCAACATTGATGGTATTTGATAGAATCTTATCAGAAATTAAAAAGAGGGTTATCACGTTGAATTCGAATTTCGCATTTCTAATAATGGTACTGAAATTTTGAATATGTCAAATTAAGAACTGCAAAAGTATGGAGCAGATCTGGGACGAAAATTTGAGCGAGATTTAAACGCGGTTGAATTCTGCCAGGAACTCTACGTTTTTAAAGAGCAAGGTCCTTTTTTATTTGGAGATATAAAAAATGCTAGCGCTTTTAATCTCTTGCAACAGATTTATACGCAATATTTATATTGCTCTAAGAATTTACTGTACGCTTCCTACTACTTCCGCAAGCTGCGAGTGAAGTTTTAGCAAACTTAAACTAATCAAAAATTATCTACATTCTTTGATGAACTAGGAACGTTTATCAAGTCTTGCCATATTAGCAATAGAAAATTAAATTGCTCATCAATTTAATTTTGATAAGGCCATAGATTTGTTTGCAGAACAAAAGGCTCGAAGAGTAAAATTGTAATTTCAATGTGTAATATAATAATAATTCTATCTATCTATCTATTCTGTCCTAACCTTATTAAAATATATGTCCGAGTCCGACACATCCTGGTATTTTTCGAAAAAATATTGGCTTAACAGAGAAAGAGCAGCGGTATACCGGTAGTTGTGGGGTTCTTTGTGGAAGGCATATGTCTATCAGTGGCGGGTAGGGGCGGCATTCTTCAGTTTTTGCTCCGCCTCAAAAAAATTCAAGATCCGGGGCTGGATATTGATAATAATAACTATACTTAATATAAACCCAAATAAATTACCACGAGCCGCCACTGCATACTACGTTCTGCAAATTAAATTACTGCACTCCTTTCTACTCTCGACTATAGACAGATGTGATGACTGAATCAGGAAAGTACGTTGACATTATAAGTTTGATTCACCGATGCTGCAGGGTATGTCTTTTTAGGAGAACTCTATAAAGTCTTGTTGTCTGTGCGAAATCTTCAATTTCTCCATTTTTGCTTAATAAATTTTGGCCTTTTTAAAAGATTTCCTCGCCATCTTTCTGAGGTTTTTCAACTCATGACATCAACATGCCGTAATTGACTAACCATGTTGGACCCGCCCAAGGGAGTAGGATTTTCTTATAGGTGTTGTTTATTGTCTTTTGGATGGTGTTCGACTATAATGCATTTCTATTATTTGGTGCTGTGGTCTCTATCTCTCGCATCTTTGAGAACATGAGCATATGATGCTTTTTCCATTTCCCTTGGCTTTCGAGATAAAGTTGAGATAGGTAACATCAAATTTATTTTGAATATCAACCAGAGTTGGTCTGAGATTATTATATCATCAGATACTTTACCTGTCAGCTTAAAATTGATTTATAGATAACAAGTGTATATAATGTGATATCAATTAATTGTTACAATTTTATCTCTTAAAAATACATTTAACCTACTCAATCTTTGATCATTATGTTATTTATCCATATCGAACTTAAAAAAAAAACAAATTTAAGTATCACTTTTAGTGAAGTCTATATCTAGGTAAATCTTCTTTGTGACTACATTTTAATATAAAATTATTCAAACTAGTAGGTTATGTTATGAGGACGAAAATTTTTCGGGCGATTACGTTTCGTATGTTTCATAGTCGAACTCAACAACACTTTTCGTCCTTGTTTCATTAATTATTTTTTATTCGAATGTGCTAGAATATTAAAAAATATAAATAGAAAATTAAATCTGAAATGATATTATTACTTTCCTATCTGTATACAGATATAAGGAAAGTATAGGAATCATGATTTTTTTCGACCTCGAGTTTTCGACGAATTTTTACGTTTTGAGGTTCCCTGAATCCGTTTTGACTATTTTCGCGATGATGTGTGTGTGTGTGTGTGTGTGTGTGTGTGTGTGTGTGTGTGTGTGTGTGTGTGTGTGTGTGTGTGTGTGTGTGTGTGTGTGTGTGTCTGTATAACGCATAACTCATGAACCGATAAACAGAAAAACACCAAATTTTAAACTTAAGCTTTGTTTCAGCGTCCAATGAGCTGATTAGATTTTGGGCAGAGTCGGAACATCTGGGGGGTACTTTATAGGTGGTCATTTTTATATTTTATGGAATATATCTGTTATTTACGTTTGGAGAAGAAAATTCTTCAAATAAAAGTTACTTCTAATATAATTATCTATAATTTTTGTTTTATGGAAAATTTTCCTAAAATGGTCCGTATTCGAGAAATTTGACAAAATGTAAAATAAATAATTTTTTATAAAAATTGTTCAAATAAAAGTTGTTTGAAATATAATTTTCTATAATTTTTGTAATATACATAATTTCTCTAAAATAGACCGTATTCGAGATATTTGAGAAAATGTGTAAATTTCGAAATTTGAAGAAAACTCAAAAACGGATAAAG